TCCGTTTTGTTCTTTCTTCGTCGAGAGGACAATGACAACGGAGACCATGGAACGAGCGGTGTTCTAATACCGAGAACCTTGAGCCAAGCGTTCGTGAAAAGTCCAACTCCAATTTCGACAGGTTGCAGGCTGAGTGCACCTGACGGTGCATATGCGTAGTGGCTCCTACAGTTGTTTTCAAACAAAGAGGGGGAATTGAAACAAAGTAGTCAGCTGATCCGAGATGCATCTTTGGTGGGAGAGCCCGGGACGAGGGCTTAAATAGCACCGCGTGGAGTTGTTCACTTCAGTGCCAGCCAGCACCTGAAATACTCTCGTTGCGATACAATCTTTCCCCTCTCCTCGGAGAGTTTCTCGAGCGCGGAAAAACAGAAAATCGCGAGAACTTGGCGGCTTCGTGAAAGATCGAGGGCATAACGATCTCGTTTTACGATCAGACGCGATCGTTTCGTCGATGTTCTTAAAGCCATCGCTACTACATCGTTACACCACGATAAACGTACCAAGAACACTTGCGACGACGACGCTAAAGATTCGTCTTAGACGCGATAGTTTCATGCAAGAGGTATCTCGTTGAAAAAGTGCGTTTTCAGCGTTCTCAGTGTACAATCGAATGTCCACGTCTTGAAACATGATAGTTTCTTGATGTGGAGAAAAGAAGTGGAGAGAATCAAGGGTGCTACTGATACTTCGGAGAAGAAGCCGTATAAGCGTGTGCTTGATCATTGATCACTGTGCAACAAGTTCGACAGTGATTAGAGAACTTCGAAGGAATTCAGTGATCGTTCGATTTCAAAGAGATAGAAAACTTCAGGGTTATTTTTCTTTTTGTTCAACTCCACACGATTTTTCCACGTTCAACGTACCTAATCGAGCAGAAGAGATGAGACCACCCGCGTACAATGGTGATGATGATGATGGTGTGCAACAGATTTCTCAGGAGCAAGGAGAGAGGAACGTGGCCATGGCTGTTTGCGTGCAGTTGGCGGGCCGGGCGATAATTAGGGTAGTTTCCCGGTGCGAAGAGGCGCAGGACAATTGTAATCTAGGTAGGTCGAATCAATCATTGCATAGTTTCTATCATTGATGCCGACCTAGTCTCTTCAGCCTACTAACGTTAATCAAGTTTTGATTTGTCCGTTGATCGTCAAATGTAAATAAAAAGATCTGCGAAATAAAGATTGACCTTTCGAATTCTTTTTAAATTGCAAAAAAGAAAGTATAGGTTTTTAAGAAGAAAAATTAATGCAAAAACGAAATCGTTGATAAGAAAAAAGTACGTAGAAAATATATTCTTCCTCATTAGCGAAGCTGTCTCGATAAGCTAGATAGAATCGGTTAGCGAAACGTAATTGTTTCCTTCGTGTTTGGTACTTTCTACGCTACGACATCTTTCCGCGTTTGAGGTATTACACTTTCGCTCGGTTGAGAATTTCATTCGGGGAAAGAAAACGTGTTCAAACATTCGCGTTTTTATAATCTCAATTAATATTCGCGTTTTTAATCTCGTGATTTATAGTCCTTTATGAATCAAGCTAGTATTTTCTTTCTGTGCCTATTGCAAGATCAACAAACGACAACATCATGAATGTTTCATGGAACAGAAAACAATCTATGTAACGACTGCGCAGTTTTAATCGTGAATACGATAATGAAAGCTAAGATAAGATACTGAACAATGCTAAAACCTATATCTATATTTCTTGCAAAAAGTTTACTTAGATTAATCGTTTTGCTAATTCCATGCTTGCTTGCGACTGAATGCGTTATTTCTTAATCGGTTTCACTAAACTTTTCTACAAATACTTGCAGCTAGGCGCAGACTGTATACTGCAATTCCAAGTAAACCTCAAATTTTATGCAAATCGTTTAGCTTATTGCAACCGCTTAACTGATTGTTCGTAAAGCTTGGTCTGACCCCCCACTGGTATAATCTACTCGCAGCAGTAAATTTACCGGTACCGTAATTCTCGACTCTCCTATGATGTTCAAACGTCTAAAATAATTTTCTTAATATACAGAAAATTGTGAAAACAACTTGATAGTTGAAAAGTACATTACTCGTAGGAGCTATAAGAAATTTGTTCCAACGTCGGGTAATTTCGTTTCTACAGGGGACGCGTTGATATCGATAAATTACGTGCAATGGAACAGTGTAAATTAATAGACACGTGTCATCGAGCGACCTTAGAATTCGTTCGGTAGAGGACTAATAAAGTTGGCAACTCGATACGCGTTTCTAGTCGGCCTTGATTCGTTCATTCGACCGACTCGTAACGAGCTCGATTTTCAAACTGCCGTGACAAATTAAATTCATCGGTACACCATGCGTCGTTGCTGGAGAATATTGAAAGAAGCATGCGACATCGATGGTTACTTTCGAAGCACCGTGTAGATCATGCGACTCGCTTCCTGATTCAACCTGGAGAAGGAACGAGTCTCAGTTCTTGCCTTATCCGTCCACCCGGATAGATTTGAGACCTCTCTCAACGCTGCTTCTTCCAGCTTTGTCTTGACTCGATCTGTATCTGGTATTTGTTCGCTTGTTCGACCAGTTTCGGCTTTCCATTATTTTTCCACTTGTTAATTAGTTTATACGAATCTTCGTGTTGGTTTATTCGCACCTTGCTCGTTCGGTTGTACTGTAATTAAAAACACTGTTGTCGGATCGTCAAAAGTAAACATAAGATTTCTAATCGTTAACTGGCGAAAGTCTCGAAGCGGAGAAAACGAGAGCGAGAGGCACGTTCATGACAGACGTGTTCAAGGAGTCACTGTACGTCCAAATGCGTGTCTCCGTAATAACACTTGTTAGCGGTCCTTGAGAAGAAATGTTTCGACAATAAGTATCCGGGTATTGTGACCAGCTGTGATCTTTCTCGTTGAAATTTTATGCGAATGTCAGATTATGGTCTGAATTTCTTTGCCACTTAAATGGTCGATTTTGATATTATTTCTGGTGTTTAACATAAAACAATCGTTCCCAATAAAGCAATTGGTTACATCCATTTTTTTTATATATATATATATCATCATATTACTATTCGGAAATGCAAGTAAGGTTGTTATAGCATTGGCTCGTTAAGTGATACCGATATCTAATATTAGTGCGACGCGTTAGACAAGCATATGTAACAGGTGGTAGTGTTCTTCACTGAGGTAGCGGTTCGTGCATCAATTCGAATAAAAGTGAAATGTTCGCTTCGGGTTCTAGCATAGATAATTGGTTGGATAAACATTGCGTTGCACAACTCTCGTATCCGGTCTTTGTTCCTTAGGCTATCCATGCATCGATCCAAACCCGTTGTAAGTCGTTCGCGCGTGAGCATATTTTGTTTTTATGAACGAAGCTTAAAGCGATATGATAGTACCGTGCAAGGTGTAATTTAAGTATCAAGCTGAAAATTTTACAACAATAATTATGTAGAAATGATAGAAAAGCATGGAAAATATATGCCTAATAAAATCGTTATGCTTTCTATACTGTTCTTTCTTTTTATTCTCTTTTTAAGTAACGCAGATAGATACGTGAAATTTTATTAATGAGAAAATTGTAAATGCCCGAGATATTGTATATGCTCTAGATATTATATACCAGGTGTCCTATTTTAATCTCTCAGAGCAAACAGATTATGCTGTTATTTATTTCATTTTGCAATGATCTTGGAGAAGTCTATAAAAATCAATTTGGTGTTGTTTAATAAGAACTTATATTTTTTATCACATATTACTGTAGCTAGCATCAAAGTGTTTCCAAAACATTACCTAAATGTAATCGTTGCTTAAATCGTACCTGAGGTATGAACTCTCGAAGTTAACCTATCACTGGCATAGCGTTATCCAATGTTCATCGCTGGGAGTCTACATGTCGGTCTTTGTACATTAGAATGGTTCTAAAAAGAGCCATTGAGTGAAAACACAAGACTTCGTATATAATCAGTGTTCAAATTGTCGATCGTTTATTTCTTTTTACTTTTTCTGTGTTGCTTCCTATAAATTTTGTTACGTCACGTCAACTTCAAGAGTTTACATCTTAAGAATGCTTTAATACCATTTACAATACCGTATAATAAAAAATATAGATTCTAATTAAAAAATTCTAAATTGTTTTTTGTAAACTTTCCCAAGATCATTGTAAGATAAAATAAATTACAACATAATCGAAACCATACGATTGAGTCTAAACTATTTTTTCGTATCTTTCGTATTTTTCGAAATATTTGTTGTGAGAAAGTCAAATTAAACACCCTATATATATTTCAAGATTGTTAAGACTTTTACATCGACTATTGATATTATTGTGCGATATATCGATGCGTCAACCTGTGAGTCAACAGTCAGTCAACAGGAAAGATCTCTTGCACGTTTTGGAGGCATCCATGTGCACGAAAGGTCAATCTCGGAATAGTGAACCGCTACGAGGTCCTGGCAAAGTAAATGCTCTCGTGCTTTGCATGCCACACGATAGTCATTCCTTTTTCTTGATCTTTTTTACATGTATTCACGACAAAGTGTTAATGAACTACTAAACAGTTGCGTCATTTCATTACTTGTTCCATTAGTTCCATTAGTTATAGAATACATTTAAAATTAATTCTTATATAACAAAACCGTATTATACTTTCTTCGATAGAATTACGATTTCAACATTTAAATTTTCCATTATATAGAAATCGAACTCACCAATCACCACGCAACGTATGCTACCTAAGTTCTTTCGGTGCTATTCGTCCATAGTGTAAAACGGGAAACTTGTGTTCACATAAATGAGTCAACTTGTAATTTTATCCCTCAATCTGAACGTAATTCTGAAAAAATATTAATATTAATTCATGTATTATAAATATCTAATAAATTGGCGTAATTAAAATAAAATAACTTAATAAAAATTAGCTAACTATTAATTTTTATTTAAACATAGTGAATTATTTTCTACGTGCAAAACATGGACGATAGGCACGAGATAAAATACGAGTGTATGCACTTCGTACGCTACATGAATACAGATAACGCGAGGCGCCACCATGTATGGAAACGTAACCTTAAATGGTAGCTTGCCACCAAAGCCATTTACTACTTTATAGCAAAAAGTCATCGTCACTGTCAATACAAACAGTAAAACATCGTCGGGTAATTCACTCAGTTAATAATGTTGAAAATATTTCGGTTCAAAGTTTAATGGATTATAAAGATATTGAAACTTAGAGCATATAACAATGTAAAATTAAAAAAAATGGTTCCCGTGTGGCTAAGTTTTTCAAATGTTCGGCACTATATCTATGTGTTAGAATATAAAATAATAAATAATTTTGTATCTTATTACCTTGTATCTTATTATTAACATGTATTATTTATAATTGTTTTGGCAGCAATATTAATTAGTTTAAATTGTATATAAACGATTTTAACAATATAAATTATGAAAATAGTAACCAACGCGAATCGGAGGAAAGCGTAATAAAGTTACAACTAAACGCGCAGGCGCCCGAAAAATGGCGACAAGAATTTCTAGCGCAATATCAAACAAGCGAGTGTCCCACATCTATTTTCACAGCACTGATACGATTTGAAAATTCTTCTTTTATTCATTAAAATTCAAATAAGAGATTAATAAATTTTATCGAACACAATAAAATATGATTAATTGGAGTATCAAAATACATTACTAATTTTCTAAATATTATTGTTGTTGATTTCTACTTCGTTATATCTTAGTATATATTTCCGGAAAGTAAAATGAATGCCAAGGCCATCAAATGAGTGCTATATATTTCTGAAAGTTATTAAAAATAAATGTTTCAGTAAAGTGGTGAGACGTTTGACTTGAGTCAGTTTGCCTTAGCAAGATGGCGAATGCTGTCACGAGAGTAGTGTTGCGCTGTGAAGATGCACAAGAAACTAACAATCTTGGTAAATTGTTTCTCGAAAAATACTTAAAAAATTACTTTAACAGACTATTAAAATAACGGTTCTTATAAAAATTTAAGTACAGTTTGTTTAAATTAGTTATCACTGCTGTTGATACTTTAATTTAGTTCATGACCTAGTTTTCGCTGCTACAGGTGCATCGCGGGTTTTATAAAAAATTGTGAACGTTTATTTAAACTTTTACATTTTTAGCACAGTTTGTATTTAATAAACCAAGTTGAAATTAATACATAATTTTGAAACTAAGGAATAGTATTTAAAAAGTGTACAAACTTCTATTGTTATCGGCATAAAATATCGATACACTGACCTAGTTCGACAGCTGATCTGTCACGAACACAATATCTTAGTGCTCCAATTGTGAAAATTGAACATAGTTATTTTCCCTAACGTGTATTCTAAATATATATATATATATATATATATATACGTAACAATACATCATTCATAAAAAATATACGCATCTGTTAATATATAACGAGCGACAATATACTTAATTTGTTCCAAAATAAATTTTGAATATTTTTTTCACTCGTCAAACAAAATAATTATATAGCATTTTTTAATGCTACAATTTTTCATTTTTTCAGATTTGTCAGAATGTCAGCTGATGCAAGTACCTGATGCGGTTTATCACTTAATGAGACATACAGAATTAAAAAGATGCAATCTATCTGGGAATGTAATAACAAAAATACCACCAAAATTTGCAATCAAATTTTCACTAATCACTGGTAAGTCAACTAATATTTATTTCCATCTACATGTTTTTATTGTCAATTTGTTATTACTTTTGTTATTATATTATAATGATTAATAATTTTTAAACATTTTATCTTTTTTTTTTTTATTTAAGCTAATAGGTATCACTGTAATACACATTCAAACACATAATCGTTTCTAGAACTGAACCTGAGTCATAATCAAATGAGTAAGCTACCAGAGGAACTTGCTGAATTGCAAGCTTTAGAAAGGTTGGATATTTCGCATAATACTTTCATTGCTTTGCCACCCGTTACATATCAGATACCGCAACTCAAGCGGCTTCTTGCTAACAATAATTCAATAATTGGTAAGTATTGCTTATTTATTTTAGATAAAGGATAATCAAGATTCAGTTATTAATATTATAATTATAATACCTTAATTTCTATAGACATAGATGTCGAAAGACTCAGGCACGCTCCCGCGTTGGAATTTATTGATCTTCAAGACAATCCACTAACGGCTAGAATGTACGATCTGCTCAGTACTCTGACTCGAATTAAAATTGAACTGTCGCCTCGACAAGTTGAAGAATGGGAGGATCTTACTATTTGAAGTAAACCTATAGCTCAAAGAAAATAATAAAATCTGCCAAAGCAGCTGATTGTCGAATAATCGTCCTACATGGACGTAGTTTGCTTCCATTACTATTGACTGAGATTGTTCGAAACTTCGCAAACAGATCGTTACGCGAATTCAGAACAAGAGCAAGTATTTTGTACAGTGACAAAAAAGCATATGACTGACCGATAACAGGTGTGACGATAAGCGGCAAAAATCAGAAGGAAATGAAACTCTCTATAGTTGACGTTCTTTATAATCCGTACTTAAGTATAGACTTGCCGCGTACCTGGAACTTTCTTCATTGATCTCGAGGATAGCGATCGATTGTCACTTCTTTTACTCTCGTTTTGTACCGTGTGGATTTTTTTAGATATTATTCTGCTGCTCGCTCATTTGGCCCGCGTAATGCTGTGATTCATGTATATGTAACATTGCGAGCTGCCGATTAAATTTACATATTTTTACTAACTCCAAATAAGTATCCTGTACATTTAAGATATGTTTTATTATTTTTTATGCGTGGACTTGCGACACATTGTGTAATAAAATCGTACGACTGCCAACCTATAGGCGATTTATTGTTGACATTTTCGCCATAAATAGACCGATATTTTGATTTTATGAAACATTTAATGAAAAAAGAAGAATAAAATGTATAAATCAGATACACCGATGGTGATAGATATATGAGAATTCGTGGGTTTCCTCGGTTTAGATACGTATTTCATGAACTTGCAAGATTTTACAGGGATGATTGTATTTAATTTATATAAACGATATGTATTAAACTGTATTATGTATTAATTATAATGTAGCTCTGTGTATATGCACAACAGGTATCAGAATGTATTGCTCTGTATTTCTGATCTAGTCAATTGTCCGCGAAATGTTAAAATATACTTTAAGAAACACAGTTCTTCTCTGTCGTCCCCTCGAACTCATTTCCTTCTTAATAGTTGAAATATATGCCAAGGAATACTAGATGGATATGTTGGATTCGCAGACTAGTATCACAAAATACGTTTTACCTCGTTATATTGGTTTAGTAGCTATATTTTTTCAATATTAATAATAATTAATAATAATAATTAATAATAATAATAATAATAATAATAATAATTAAATGTATAATGAGTCACGGAGTTAATTATCTACAATACTTGTTCATGGATATAAAATCACAAAATATACATAGAATGGACGCAGTTGAATATTAAGAATTAAGGTAGACATACGGATCTCATTCTTCTTTCTTCCTTCTATCGTTATCTAATGATTTTCTCTTTTCACTTTCATAAAGTGATATAGCCTATCTACGTCGATAGTCGAGCAAAAAGTATTGCAATAAACTTTCCATCGATATCGATGACCGCACGCGAAAATGCTATCGACTCTCGCAAAATCTGAAACTTCCCAAAGCTCACTCCCCGACAAACAAAACTCTCGCAAATATACGTTCCGCAGGTTTATTATCGACTGCTCGAGAAATGCAGCGAGATTTAGAGTAAAATTGTATGTCAGGGAGCAAAGAAATTACAGCGAACGTATTGGCAGCAATTGCGGCAGAGGAAAAGGCTATTGATCTTTGTTTAATTTTGTGTACTTGTGTACCTTACATACCGAAGCTATATTTTAATAAGTGATTATAGTTTTTATATATATATGTATATATATACATGTACATATTTTTAATACGCGGGCATATATACGACTATACGATTTCGATACGTCGCAATCGAATCTAGGACGAATCTACGCTTTGTAACTGCGAAGCTGAAAGTTCCTTTCAAAGATGCCGAAATAGGGACGTATTTTCTTTAAAAAAAAAAAAAAAAAAAAATATTAACGCCACCATTTCGTACTTATACTTGCAATGGAAACAAATTCATCGCTTCACATAATACACATCGAATCTGGCACTCACACACGTACCATTCACTTCGTTCTTCCTCCCATGTCCCTTGCAATATGTACACAAATATATCCTAACTAAATTCACATCCAGGCATTATCGTAAACAAAACTTAGCCGACCAATTTTCGGAATCTACTTGCTGTACAGAGCACCACCTAATCACCTTCCTGTTACATTAAACAAAAAAAAAAAAGAGAGAAACGAAGGACGTCACTTAATAAACTTACACAACAATAAAAGACAAAAACAACTCAGAAGTAATTGTAAAGAAGCGACGTCACCTTTCTATCATCGGCAAAAGTAAGAAACAGATATCGATATATTAAAACAAATAATGCATTTTCGTCATACATATACGGAACATATACATATACGGTTTGAATAAAAATTAAATTTAAAAGCACTAGAATTGATCAGTTTCTTGAACTTCGGCAGAGATAGTGAGAATCCGTTTGTGAGTTGCCTGCTTTACAATCGAGTTAATAAAAAGTACATAAAAACTCGTGCAGTTACAACAATCGCAATTTTTATCCGTGACGTGTAGGCGGAGCACATGTTATATATATATATATACGCGTGTATGTTTGTGTATATATGCGCGTACATACGCACGCGCGTGTGTGTCTGTATATTATACGACAGGTATTTACTTTCATTAATAAAGTTGCAAATTGTTCACTTGTGCACATCTAAATTACAAAGACACGTTTTTAGAGTTATCCAAGTGATCAGGGTGCTTTTATCATTTTTCTTAGAAAAATGTATCGTACTTCATAAACATTAAACGTGTATGACGAAACCTCTTTAACGTGGTAGGGCGTAACATCATTCTAAATAATTGTACGATCTTAATATTCTATTTAATATTTAGTGAGTTCAACTTGTTGATCACTTTTGTATAAAAGAAGCTAGATCTTAAAAATGAAATTTATTTTCTCTTTGTTCTTCCTTGTTCGATAAGCTGATAGAAGCTAGAGGGAAGTGTGTTGGGTATAATTGACCGAACCTTTGATAAATCATGAGATTCTCCAAAAAATCAAAATATTGGCACATGTTAATTTTCGTTAATACAACATCCCTAATATTTAGGCCTATAATTTGACCAGACTATATTCTGAAATCCTGTGCCATTCAACCAACACAGAACCCTCAATTAATAAGAATCTCGTTAATTGCTATTTTTAATAGTTCAATGTACCGTATTGAACTAATAGCATGAAAAACCTTGAAACTTCCCCACTTCACAATTGTTTAACATCCTAAAAGAAGTGGCTAAGTATTATAGAGGTGACACTCTATGTAAGATGTAGGTACAAAACCCTCAATTGGTTGTGAAATACGACGCACACGCGTCCAACCATCCCCTTGATCTAATTCAATCATGTACAACTCTTCTCCATCATACATCGGTATGGAACCTTCGCTAGTTGCTAAAAATATAATTTTCAATTCATACATTTTCTTGATGATTAATAGAAATAAATTAAAAATACTTCGATAAGATTATTCTGGCTATATACATACCATCGAAAGGATAAAGAGCCCTACACGTTCCCAATGGTGGTTGAGCATCAATTTCATCAACATAATATTCTTCGCCACCACTACCAGGAAGAGATGTCCTCGATTCCCCAAGACCAGATTCCGGGCTATTCGTGGAACTGTGCATCAGTACCGTAAAGCGAAAAGCGTGTCTAATTGGTCTAGTTAAAAATTCTAATCTGTATTTATACTGATTTAAAAACTCATTACAACGATTCTTCTATTTAAGAAAAAGGAAACCTTTCACGATCGATCCTAAACTAAGTCTAATAACACGATTCGATATAAAATCGGTAGAAGAATCCGAGACGCGAATAGTACACTAATCAATTAAAACTTACCCGTGTGTTGGCTGCGGTGTGCCCGGAGCACTTTTCTTATGTATCGGTTGGTTAGCATTCGCATTGCTTACGCTCGAATCGGATGCTGATCTTGAAAGACTTTCCTCTCCTCCCGAATGACTGGATCTTCTTGAACTCAGCGGTCTTGTTGCGGAACCATTGCTAGTCGGTTTCCGTGGTGCTTGACTGGGACTAGAAATTTTAATTATACAATTTATACTAAGAACTAACCAGAGCGTGAAAGGAATCCATGAAATTTTGCAAGGTCACCTGGATAAGCTGATGCCGGCACGCATTGCTTCATCGAGATAACCTTGGAACTTTGCCAAGTCTGCACCGAGTTTATCTAGCTTGTTGCTCGATTGATTCAATTGTCCTTCTATGCTCATTGGATCACCTAATGCAGGATTTTGCTCGTATACGCCCTTCATTTTCATCAAACCATCTCTTGCTGCGGTTTCTTGCTGAATCTTTGCTTGAATTTCATCCAGCCTTTGTTGTAATCTCTTCTTGCGTTGATTCGGAGGTAGGTCACTGCAGTCCTCCTTTGCACCATCGCCATATCCAGGCACATTATTCTGGAATGTTTTAATTTAAGTATCCAAGTTTCAAGGAACAATGTTAACAAAAAGTCTAGTGAAATACAATAGAAAATAAAAGAGAAGGAAGCACGCGATTATCATATATATGACAGTACAGTTAATTCTACATTATCAATAAAGAGTTAACAAACACAAATTCAATGATGTTTACCAATTATATTATGCATCACTATCACGAGCATACTTGAGCCAAACAAACTATCAAGGAAATAAAAAAATATACATAAAGGCAAGTATATCTTGTGAACAATTTTCAAGACAGTGGGACTCTGTCAATAAGGACTGTCATACGGAAAACAATGATGACCGTAAAGAAATAGACAGACCTTCAAAGCTATGCCCACCTCGATCAACTTCTGTTGTTCGCATGAAACAAATTCCAAAAGCGTATCATTCAGCGAATGAATCACAAAAACGAATCTCAGGCAATAGGGTAGAGTAAAAACTTAGTATCGTGAACGTTATATATTTCACAATAAGTGAAGTGACTACGTTTTTAATGTTATCTGAGTTTGTACTCGGCCGACAAGACACATCTAAGAAATGCACATAATTACTGATACATATCTCGATACAGAACAAAATGCTGGTGTTACACATGTGGCAGGCGAACAAGCGATTTGTAGTGTACTTACTAAGTACAACAGTATCCAAATTCATAGTCCACGGGTGATTGGAAACAAGAGACCACAGGCAGATCGAACCATCCACCAAATTAATAAAAAGTACAGAAGAAAGATAAGTTATGCTGGCCTTGCGAAAATCAACGAGATACTGTAAACTATCGATCGAACTATATCGAATAAGTATGACGTATGTTATATTTTTTTCGCTTTTAGAATCGTACGAAGTTAAAAAAAAAAAAAAAAAAAAAAAAAAAAAAAAGAAGAATCTGAATAATACAGAGCTAAAATGAACAACGAAAAACACAACCGTCTAAAAAATAAAAACTGAACGAATCACACATGCCAAAAAAATCTGTGCGTATTACAGGCCTGTTGATCGAATAATGAGAATATGCATTTTGAATAACAATAAAACAAAAAATAAGAAAAGGATGTTTCGTGCATATTGTAACTATTTTTCGTTCTTACTTTCGATGTTCTTACACTTTTGGAAAGAGAAAGAGAAAAAACGTGAACAAATGCTCGATTCACAAACATGTGTATGACACAAGAACTACGCTTTTAAATTGCTACGCACAATATTTACCTTATTGCTACTAAATATGCCGAATAAACCGACCCTCTTCTTAATTTTGCTTCCGGAAACGGTACCCTTTGCTGTCAGGTGATGATTGTGTATTGGCTGCATCATCGGCTGTGACAGCTGACTATTGCTGTCATAGGTTTTAGCCACGGAAAGGTCTTCAAATGGAAAATCTCCTGGAGGCTGGAAGCCGCTTTTGTAACGTTCGATTACCAATAATGTGTCTTTCTTCTCATTGATCTCGTTTGCCGCTTTTTCAATACCGTCTAAACACTGAGCAATTATTGGCGCCACTGCTCGTTCTATTTCTACCGACTTTAGCATGTAGTTTCGCATATTTTTTATTCTCTTTTCATCAAGCTCCTACAACAAAATATACAGAGCGTTAAAATCGAGCAAATCTTTAAAAGAAAAAATTCATATAAATTCGTACTCTACAAATAATGAAACGAGTGATATACCTGCAAGTGTTGGAACACTTTCGGCATGGCAGTATGATAATGTTGCGTCTGCATGTCGTTTGTTCTTTGTAACTGATTCGCATATTCGGTCTTGGCCTCTTCACTCTGCTGAGTTTTCAAAGTCATGTTCATCCTCTGCTTCTCGACCTGAGCACAAAATAAATCGTTTAAAGTTCATAAATTACTGTTTGCGCAATATTTGTTGCTCGACATGTGTTTATGGGTCGATGCTCATTCAGAGCTAACGTTAATGTTATTAAACTGGGTTAACTCGAGTTTTCTCTGGTATCACGAAGGTCAAAACCATCCACCTACTTCCGCTCTCGAAAGATTCAAATCAGCATCTGCCCTCTGATAATTTTCGACTGCCCTCTCCGCCTCACGAAAAGCCTTTTCATACGCCTTCCTAGCGCGCTCCAGATTCCCAATCTGACCGGTCAGGTTTGCCATTAATCTGGCACCCTCTTGAAGCTGTTTCTTACGGTCTTCCTTAAAATCTTTCACAAGAATATTCAATTCCCTTAACACATTTGCTTGCAGATTTTCTGCGATCACTTCCCTTTGTCCCGCCTGGTCGTTTACCTCGTTCAGCTCCATCTTGAATGCTCGACATGGACTGTATCTGTGAGCAAAATTTCTATATCATTTCAAATGTAATTACACATACGATATTAAATCTTTTGGTTTAACTAAATGTACATGACGCACAACGAATCGACGCAAAGAGAACCGAGTCTGTAAACGCAATACGAGTATGTTGCTGAACTTATAAGCAACCTACCCACGCCCTCAGATAAGAGATTAGCTACTGTTTTCTGTCACGCCACGTATGGAATATTAAAGGCGCTCGAGAATTTTTCCTCTTCCCTCAGGCGCCGCGTTTGCATTCTAAACGAAAGGCTGTGAAGCATTCGAGCTGTTAGAAATTGCAAGACCTATACGATTATTGGACAAACGAATCTCGGTCACGAGAAACGTGTATCGTTGATTTAACGTTTACGAATTAACCAAGAATATAAAAAAAAAACTGGCTGAACGCCAGATAGAAAATCGTTTGAGAGAAGGAGAAAATATATTCTTTAACGGATCATTTGTCACTGACAAAGAACAGTCTATTACGAGATAATTTACGCGAAAATAGGCAGAACGTACTTTAAAATAGGAATTATTTTGAAGCATTGTTCATGTCGAGGAACATTACTACGGAGCGTGGATCCGGTATTACGCCTCTGAGTTGCCTCATACTTACTGATAATCCTCCTCCTCCTTCTTCTTAGGTTGATAGCTCTTCACGAGACGTCTGCAATCAGAAATGAAATAAGATTACCGGTGCACGTGCAACGACCGACGCGAGGGAAATATACGCAATAGGAACTAGGAGATGTCCTAGTACGTAAAATAATTTGCCAGTGATTTAAAAATCGAGGGGAAGAAGTATCTTGCATTTAAACGGCGTCTGTCCTTTTTTAGCTGACTGCGGTCTAAAGTTATTTTCAGACCGGTGTCTCTCGGTTGAACACAAGTTACACGTTTCTGTTGTTGGTAGGAACGTGAAAATTGGAGGTTTCACAGTAGCCAAAGGAAAGAAATCTCGTAGAACGTTATGAAATTACGGCGTCGAAACGATTCCCGGGCTCATGTTTCATGTACAACGACAAAGCTGAACGTTTTTCAGAATTCCATGCACAGATTGCGTTTAGTCATTCGTGCGGCAAGAAATAACTACAGTCGAGTCATTCTAATCTGGACACTTGGGCCACGAATGAACGATAAATGTGTGCCGGCTACTAAGTGCATTATCATCCGGAAGTTGACGTGTCCTTGATACCAGATCAACCATACGCTTTACCGGGCCTGAACGTGCATCGAAACCGAGGAAAACGGTTCGTGAAAACGGGCAACGATTTCTAAAGTGCCGAGAAATGCGAATCGTAAACCACAAGACAAGTCCAAGTACGTGCGCGTGTCAGATTGGAAAAGCTATTTTCGAGCCCGCTTGGATTCCTCTTTTCAGGTCTGGATTACTGTCCAAAAATTGGAAAAGCTATTTCCAAGTTGATTCGATATCCGCTTCTTAGGCCCATTGCTTGAATGTTCGATAGATATACATATGTACTGGCTGACCTATGTTTCGATATCGTAGGTCTAGGTCATTATCTAAAACAGTTGATAATGCCGCTTTAGATTCAAACGACTATGGTTACGCTGAAGTTACTAAGAGTAGAGAAAAAAAGAGGCTGGAAGAACTATTTCAGTACGATACTCGGTTCTTCTTTCTAGATCTGGGTTAGTATCCAATAATTCATCGAGCATTGCACCGAACTTCTCTAACTAACCGAGAAACTTGAAGAAATTAAGTGCGCTAGATTTAAAGAATATAACCGTATTTTACAGTGTTCGGAATGCTTTTAATGAAAATCAACGGTGCATCGAGGGAAACTGCCACGCGGTAAAACGGTACTCCATTTGTACGAGTAACACGAGCATGTATCGCAGAAATTACGGCGCATTAAGACGAGGAACGTGCCCGTGATAATTTATATGCAGTGGAACGAACGTGCCTGGGATAGATGTGTGACGAGCACGCGGAATCATTCTCTGGGCTTCACATGCGCCAACTGATTAAGGGACAACGATAACCATCCGCGACAATTAAAGCCGCCAGATTCAGAAAGAAATCACGCCGCCTTTGTAGCGCTGCTGGTGCGCTTCATTTTTCGATTACAGGCTGAGATACATCACGCAACAAAGGAATACTTAAAACATCGTGCGATTCGATCTTGAGTACTCTGTTACTGCTCCAGAACGAGCGAGAGGTGGTCCAATTTGGTTCATTTCTTCTTCAGAAATACGACGGAACACTGACTACTGAAATAGTAGAGCAATATTGCGTTAATGATTGTTTCTTTTATAGTAACGTACATCATATACTATAGTTACTATAAATAATTATAAATACGATTTAAAAGCAAGGATTTTGATTATTATTAGGTCTTCGTATTAAGTGAAATCGATAGAAGGCAGAAGATAAGCTCATTTCGAGACACCCGGTAGAACAAAAGTGTGCAACAGTAGACGGCATTCACGGAACAAACAAGGGGGCCCTTTAATACAATATGGGGTGCGTGAGACATGCTCATTATACAGGATGTCCCATTGAAATTGTTAACCTCGGATACGGCGCCCTTTGTTAATTTATGTACAAAAAGAGAGGAGTGCTTCGATGTCGAACAAAGACAGCCACTGACGATAAATCTCGCGACAAATCTATGCTTCGGGAAAAACTTAATGTCCTTAAGTATTTCTTACCTGAGTTTAGCGGCATATTCCACCTCGATGGCGCATCGGTCGCGAATGAAATGGCCATACCTTTCGAGGAACTCTATCCCTTTTTGTGTGTGGAGGGATAGATTCTCGTACTGGTCCTGTAACAAAAAGACATGGACAAAATAAGTGGACGTGCTCTGGGAGTTTCTCGGGGTCGTAAAACATGGTTTGGAAGAACAAAAATATTCACATTCTTGTTCAAGCATTCTATCCTTTTCCACAGAACTAATACTGCCTTTGCGAATGCGCCTTAAAAAATACATTTCCAAAATTCGCTTGAAAAATATATATGTACATATATATATAAACAATTATTCATTAACAGGACGCTGTTAGATTTTCCTTCATTCATCGATTGTTTCTAGACCCTCTGTTTGCCAAGGGACAATGGGTCGAATGGCGTAGGGCTTCTTAAAATTTCTCCAGGGAGGTTAGGACAGGCTCCATAACTCGTGCTCGTTGCTCGAGCCGATGCACGAGAGAAACGACGCGGCATCCCAATCGTCGGCACATTTCTCCGTGGCTCGGCATCGTCTGCCAACAGGAAAAGGAGAAAGAGAGGATTTTTCTTTGCAGAGCATGGCCGGACGGCGTGTGCACGCTATGCCCGGTATACGTGTAGCCATTGCGGTCGACGACTGAGAAAACCTCTTGGCACACATACACGTGCCGCCCTCCTCGGGACAATGAGGTATTTCGCAAGGCTGCACGGCTGCCGGTAAAAAGATTTCTGGCCGTTTAGCGGCTCGGCACGAAAAGTGAAACTGGACTCTGTTGGCCATTGCCGCAACGTGCACCAGCGACTCCGACTGGTCAGACACCGCCACGCCAGATACCCATAGGTTCTGACCGTTTTATCGGCTTTATGAATCGCTACAACGCCGCTACCGTGCAGCCTCGACCCGTTCTTTCTTCCATCGACGAATTTTCATTCACATTTTGACCAAGTCTCGTGAATGGGGAACGCGTTCGTGTTACGTACGATGTGATCGATGGAGCAAATACAACAGGATCGTAAAACATACCGCCGCATGGTGGCGCGCATATATCGATGATATCCAGATCCAGTATCGTATCTACGTGTCTCATAATCAGAGGGATATCTTCGCTAGACACTCGAAACACGTAACTTCAATTTTATGACTGCTTCTTTTACCGACTACGATTACCGAGCGTCGTTAATCGAACGATTGATTCATTCACGCGGAGTGTAAACGTATGAGTCTCTGTTCCATGGAATATCGTATTCTCTTCTGAAAATCATTTACCTCGCGTGATGACCGAAAGCGTTTAACCCACGTAGCGCCGGGATACCGAGAATTCCTCAAGGTTCTGGGAACATGAAAGAAAACGACATTCGCCGTAGCGGAGTTACGGAATGGAAGCTTTATCGTTCAAGGACGATCCTGTCTTTCAACATTTGAGCGCTCCGCTGCGGCAACGTTTACTCGGTTCGTGTGCAGGGAAAGAGAGTGGAAAAGAAGGAGAGGGACGGGAGGGAAGCCCGATCGAGTCGCCTATGCTCTGGCATTCGAAACGCGTTACTTTCATTTCCAACAAGTAGCCATTCAAGGGCCACGCACTGATTGTGAGACGCGCGTCTACGTGTACAGACATGGTCGTTCGGCGGCTCTTTCCTTTCTCGAGATCCACCTCGAACCAGTTACAAAAAAGAAAAAAAGAGAGAAAAATCGACGAAGAAGGAGGAAAAAGAGGAAAGAAAAATAGCAAAAACGAAAAGAAAGAAAGGAGGAACGAGATCTCGCGACGCGTCGATGTCACGCGTTCAGGATGTGTCTAGCCCGAGTGCAGGTCTCTCCGGACGCATTAAAGTAATTAGCTTATGCGACTGAACGTCTGTTGGTGACGGTAAGATATGGAAAACAAAGGTAGAAACCGCGAGTCATCAAATCATACGTTGCACGGTTAATTAATCAATGTTAATGCTCTCTCCTCGCGTTACGTGTCCTAAGCATGTTACGATACACGATAGGGTGTATAATTATGCATATAATTTCGCAGTCACGTCGCTTTTCAATCTTCTGTGCGAATTCAATTTTTAATAGCCAGCTTCACAATGTATTCCATAATCCTATTTTATTTTTCCATCTTAGGTACACATTATGCGTCTATACCATTGTGTCAGCTATCGTTTCAACCCGTCCGTAACACCTAAGGAGTTAACCAAAGCACACGGTCTAAAGTTACGTAGTCGCGGAGGAAGAGGCGAAAGAGTTTGCAATATTGATTCGAGACAACCTCGTTTTGTCGTGGCAAACAGGAATATCCGGGCGGCCAAGCTAATCGTACCAAGTATAACATGATACTTGCACGAGTAGCGATACACACTAGCGGTGATACGATACTATGCCTCGCACCGATGCAAGTCTAAATCAGATATCTAAGTCATACGTCGCGGAGCCGATCACAGATCCGCGAGCGATTTATTGGATAAAACATCATCCTTTTTTTCCAAACAGCTCGCGACTTTCTCATTGTGATAACTGTAAGCGATCGACGTCGCGGTCGGTGCAATTTGCAACTAAATAACGGAGAACTGGTAGCGCAGGTGATAGTCGAACTCCGACTTTCGAACGTTCAGGAACAGGAAAAGCTATCATTTTACCCTTTTCCCCACCGTCGAACGCTCTATCTTGACCGACAACCGATTTTATTTTCGCGCCGCCTCTGATATCGACGTTCTAATTATTCGACCAGAATGCTGAACCTCGTCGTTTCTCGGAGAAAACACGAATATTACATAAATCGGTTTAGAGGAAATACCTAACACTCGATGCAGGATATTGCGTTAATCGAAGGATACGGAGAACGAGTATCGAGATTAAAAATCCACTGTAGGTGACTGTCCAAAAGGTTGATACACAGGACCAATTTGGTGTTTAGATCACGAGACGGAGTATTTTGTCCGGATTTCACTAACTAGTTATGTCTCGTTTAATTATCTAATTTTAAGCCATTACATTATGTCTAAGTTTATTTAATGACCAGGTTGGTTATCTATGCAAATCGACGAAAAACAAAGAGCTATGAAAAATTTACAAACTAGAGACAGGTAAACCGATTTCAAAAGGTGAACCAATTTCTATCGAGTAATTAACTGTTTAAAAACTAGTTCAAATTCCAGATTATTGTTTCTTGGAGGAAAACTAGTTGCGGTTCATAAAACGATACACAAAGGCAAACACCTCGCAGAACTCCACGAAAAGCGTAGACCATTTTGATTTGCTTCGGATCAATCTAGTGTTCGAATCGTCAAATGAAATTTTTCATCTGGGGTAAGTCTCGTTAGCTAGTTCTTCATTCATTTAATTATCTAGCTTCGAGTAATTCGATATGTTCGAGATTATTTAACGATGCTCCCAACCTCGCGAAGTCGCAAAAATCCGAGAAGCATTGAAACTCCTACAACAGATCTATAGCTGCAAAAGCCAAACCAATTTCTATCAAATAATTAACATTCCAGGTTTTTGTCTCTCCGAGTAAGATTAGTCTCGGTTCGTGAAACGACCCACAAACATGAACATCTCGAAGAGCTCGACGAAGAACATGGACCATTTGCACTACAGCAACTCGATGATCGTATTGCCAGATAAAAGTTTTTATCTGCGCTGCCTATCGTTATCTAGTTCTTGATCAATTTAATCATCTTACTTCGAGCAAATTCTCTCAACCAGGTGAACTTACAGGAATCCGAGAAGTATCGGAAGATGAAGAATAAAAACACGCGAGTGCCGAAGCTCAAAGAACCACGGACCTGTAGCTACAAGAGTTGGACCAATTTCTATCAGATAATTAACATTCCATGTAACCGTCTCTCCGAGTAAAACCACCATAGTCTCCGTCCACGAATCTACGTGCAAAAGCAAACACCCAGGAAAATTCCACAAAGGGCACATACCGCTTCGATGATCGAAAAGCTTCGTCATTACGGTGGAAGCTGCTCGATTATCAATCGGTAGGACGCGAATGAAATTATAGTCTATTATCTGGAATCGATTTCCAGCGGGCAAAGCCCCCACGAGTACACACTGTCGTACACCAGTGAATCCGAGGCGAGTTTCCCCACGACCAATCCTGCGTTTTCTGTGCCGCAGGTCGATAGATGAAAAACGCACGCGGCCACGTCCACCGCCCTATGACTCACCCCATGGGGTTCGACCTTTTTCAAAGAGGTGCACTTGCAACGCCGACCTAACCTTGCCAAACGCAGACTATTCAGGTCGGTTAGGTCGTCCCCTGGAGATAAATTCGGCCTTTCCATTATGCACGTGTATAGCAGGTACCTTTGTCGGACCACCTGCCGCCGCCATATCTGCTACTTTCTTCTTGCTTTTACCATCGCCATCGGGCCGAGTTTCGAGTTCTCGAACTGGTCCCCGATATTCGGGACACCGTCGTCCAAGTACCACGACCAGCGTCCAAAGTCGTGTTTCCTTCTGCTTCTTTTTCTCTTTCCTCCTCCTCGCTCATTCTTTATGGCTCAAATCGTTTAAGGTTCCTGAGAGGCAATTATATATATTCTTTCTTCTTACCACGGGTTAAAGGATTATCCTTGCGCATCTTTTTACTATGCCTGGATAGTTATACTTATCGTAACCCGTGTTCGTCGTATCGTTTCGAAGACTTTGGTTAAACGAGACGAAGAATAGTACTTTGCACGATGGTAATTTTTAAAAGCTGCCGCAAGATCGCGAAGTACGAAGACAAACCGTGGAACGACAAAGTCAGAGGATCGTACAAAGAGGCTGCCAGCCAAGGATAGGCTTTGATTAACTGAAATTTCTTTTCGCTCTTGCCCTATGGGAACGCGGTCTCGTCGAGGGTACCGAAAATACACGGCTCGACGAAGGAGACCGGTTGGTAACGTTTCCAAGAACAGGTCGGCGTTAATTAATTCGACGAGAGCGAGCGGGAAAAGCGTTGTTCGCTGCGAGACAGTGGGAAAAGCGGGGAAGACTAGCTATGTGGAAAATCAATAGCCCGGCCCGGTTACATGCAATCGCGATCAAAAAGGGCAAAGGATGGTGAATAGGTGGTTAAAAAAAAAAAGAGGAGAAAACAAAGGAAACGTTGTAAA